TATTTCCATGGTTATTGACCTTTTCTAAAAAACACACGTGGGACTTCATCAAATGCGTTCTGAGCACCTAATTTAAATTGTGCCCGCTGGACAGCCTAGATTGACTCACTTAGATGCTTCTTCAAAGAATTCCAGTAGATTAGTTCAGCATGGCCTGTTGCTTCTGAAATCATGCTGATTGCACTTCTCGTATGTAAAATAATATGAAGGCTTAGTTTAATAATACCTGAGGAACATATACATTGGTCACTTGTTTCCTTCAATCACTAATAATTTCTGTCTGACAAATATAGTTTTTCTCAGCATCTTTATTTCCCTTATTAAATGAACAGAATGCTGGTTAGTCTAAATATTAATTTTGAAGATATTTGATGGGGGTATCAATTATCTTAACTGACATGATATCTGGCAATTTATTTCAAATTTTAGCCAACTTGACTTGCTTGTTGCTCTTGATGCCAGTACAAAATTAAACATTTCCCAGCAGATTTGATAAGTATGTTTATCAATTATAATTAAAATACCCCTTGCATTTGTTATAGAGCCTTTCATGTTGGGAGAACATCTCAAAGCGTTTCACTGTGAAGTGTAGTGCAGTAGCCAGTTTGTGCACAGCAGTGTCCCACAAATGGCCATGAAGTGAATAACCAATTTTATTGAGCTATTGCTGGCCAGGACACTGGGGAAACCTCCCTTCATAGGGCAAGTAGCCTGTAAAAAAGATGAAACTGCATGAGTATAAAATGCCAGTGACTTATTACAAAACTAAAGCTGTGTTATTGTCTATGCATTTGTCTTTGCTTAATTAAAAAAAAATAATAATATTCTGTACAATTTGCCAAGAACACGTCTCAAAGTGTCTCGCAGGATATACTATAAAATATAGTGACTGTGTGTTTTGTGGGCAAACATGGACATTACCACCAATGTGCATCCTTTATCGGAATCTGAATATCCATTTTGTGATGAGGGCTCTTTTCAATCCCTTCTTTGAGAATCTTTGTTTTTTATAACAAATAATGTTTGTCATTTAGTTTGCTTTTACCTTCTGATGACAATAAACAATAACACTGCCTACTTTGATAGAGAACTCTTCAAAACTGCAATCTTTCCCTCAGGTGGTGATGAATTTTTGATTAAAAAAAAAACTAGGTTTAAAAACGACAACTTAGTCTGCGCATGTCTGGTAACTGATCATAAGATTATTGCCTACAGAATGGCTAACAATCATTAGATGACCTCTCTGAAAGCAATTTGCCTTAATCTATGCTCTATGCACTTGAAACAACAGTCAGATTTTGCAGATTGTTCTTGAAATATAAGATGTCGACCTATTTCTACCAAAGAACATAAACTACTAAACATTATCGTTTGTGCTTCAGACATTCATAAATATGGTAATGGTTTCTAAGTGCTGTGTTGTCCATTTAATGCTGCGTTTACACTGTTGGGAAGGAAATTACTTATCCTCCAGCAGTTACATTGCATTTTAATCAAAGACAAACGAAAAGTGCAATTTTTGTCATTTGTCCATCTCCTTTGTTATTAAAATGAATTGTTTTCCCCTTCTTCTGTTTTTATTGGCTTACTCTTGTAAGTAATTAAAAAAGGTGCAATCGTCAGGGGATGTTTGTTGTGTGGGCAGCTGGATTCAGTATCCCTGGCTCCATGCCATAAGTAAAGCACCAAAGGGTTGGGGTCAATTTCTAGGGCACCTGGTCACTGCTGACAACACTTCCTTTATTCTGCTACATGCAAGCAGTGGGACAGGGGTCACTTCCTTTGCAGAGTGACATCAGCTGTGCTTATTGCACATAATTTCCTGCATATTATGCTCATGTACAAAGCACAGGAAATTATGTTAGGAGCAACCTGTTGACCCAGAAGTTGGCCTTTCTTTGTTTAGTGCAGAAAAATGGCTCGGACGGAACAGAAGCAAAAGTGAACTACACTTCTGGTCAGAGTGGGTCTATAGTAGTAGATTATTATTATTATATGGCGGGCCTGGACTAAACAGTATAAGTGAGGCAACACCGCACTAAAGAGCACCAGAATGAGATTCCTGTGTATGTGCTATGAATAAACCATTTTTCAAAGCAGTCAATGGAGGCAGAGACTGATTTGACACGTGGTTCTTCCCACTCAGCTCACGTTAATCCTGGTTAAAGGGGAGAGTGGTTCAAACTGGTTCTAGATTAGGCTCCAACAGTACCTGAACGCACAATCCGGGGTCCTCAAGCTTTGGTTCTTGCCAACCTGCGCCTAATATTGTTGAGCATAGTGACTGTGTATTGTAGGTGAACATTGCAGCCAACTAATACACCGTAGTGTCTCTCAAATAGCCATCAGATAAATAACCCGTTTTATTTGAAGGATTATTAGCCAGAACACTAAGAGAAACTACTTTCTATTTTTGAATAGTGACATGGGTCCAACAACAACTTGCATTTATATAGCACCTTTCATGTGGGGTAGCATCCTGGAACATCTCCTCTCCAAGCCAGAGGGAGAGGGAGTGGTGAGGTGACTGTAAGCACAGTAAAAAGGAAGGTCTTAAGGCAGGATTTGAAAGTAGGGAGGGGGCAAAGCCGATGGATTGAGGGAGAGAATTCCTGAGTTTCGGGGCGCATAGGCTGAAGGTACCGATGGTGGAGTGGAGAGGTCAAGGGACAAACAGGAGGGCGGAGGCAGCGGGTGGGGGTGTGGGGGTAAGCAGATCAGATAGGTGTGAGGGCATGAAGCAATTTGAAAACGAGTGAGAGGATCTTGAAATCGATCCGTTCAGTAATTCGGAGCCAGTGGAGCCTTGCAAGGACTGGTGTGATGGGGGTATGGAGTTTTGTGGGGGTGAGTATCCGGGCAGTGGAGTTTTGAATTAATTGAATTTTATATATGGTGGAGTTGCGGAGACCAGCGAGGAGGGCATTGGAATTGTCCAGCCAGGAAGTGTCGAAGGCGTGGATGAGGATTTCAGTTGCATTGGTTGTCAAGTACGGACGGAGGCAGGCAATGTGACAGGGGTGGAAAAAAGCCTGGTCAGGGAACGGATGTGTGGAAGAAAGGAAAGCTGGGGATCGAACCTGGCGCCTAGGTTGCGCAAGGGTGCAGTGAGTCTGAGGGAGAGCCTGGGGAGGTTGAGGCATTCAGACCCACAGGAGAGAAGATGTTGAGGGGAGCCAAAGAGTATGGCTTCCATCTTGCCAACACTCAGCTGCAGGAAATTTGAGCTCATCCAGGCCTTGATGTCTGTCAAACAAGCTGACAGGACATCAGCAGACTGGGAATTGTAGCTGGAGGGGGAGAAGTAAGATTTGTATGTCATCCACATACATGTGGAAGTTGACCCCATGTCTGTGGATGACATCGCCGAGAAGGAGCATGTAGATAAGGAAAAGAAGAGGCCCCAAGGGTCAAGCCTCTCCATGGCCTTGCCCCCTCCTATCTTTCTGACCTGCTAACCCCCTATCAACCTGTCCCCGCCCTCCGTTCAGCAGGCCTGCTCCATATCTCCCCCCCAATCCACTTACCATTGGCAGCCAGGCTTTCAGCCTCTTTGCCCCCACCTTTTGGAACTCCATCCCACAATCCCTTCGCCTTGCTCCCTCTCTTGCCTCCTTCAAGGCACGACTCAAGACCAACCTTTTTGACCGTGTCTTCAGCCGCCCTCTTACCCCGTCTGCCCTCCTTCATCCCAACCCCCCACACTCGGTCCTGATCCCTGATTGTTCAGTGTCTTGGGACGGCCTCCCGACATGAAAGGCACTTTACAAATGTAATTTTGTTGTAGTTGCATATTAGCCAAACCGTGAGCTCAAAATCTCTGACACGAGACTTGAACCACAATTTTCTGACCCAGAGGCAAGAGTGCTCCAGACTGAGCCTGGCTGACACCTAATTAAAGCTGATGTAATGTAATTAAAGCCACTTGTAATTGTTTTCATACATGGCACTTAGCATTGTTACATTTATACATGGTTTACACATGCCACTTCTGTGGCAGTCTTGGTAGTCCGATTCCTCAGCCAGGCAGGTTTGCAGTACTCCAAGGCACTGCTGATGTTACTATAGCCAGGGTGGCTCATCAGCAGGACTTGGAAGGGCAGCCCAGTCATTGGGGGAGAGTGTCATTCCATTTAGCTCCCATCAACTCTGCAACCAAAGCCCTAACTGGTAGGATAAGCAGTGGAAAAGCTTGCCAGGCAGTGCTATCAATGGCAAGCTACGCAGTTTTAGTTGGTTGGACTCTAGCAGTTACCCCAACACACTTTGGAGTCCCCAAGCCTTGGCTCTTGTCAACCTGTGCCTAGTACTTTCTAGAATTAAGTAAGCAGAATGCATCCCTCCAGGGAGAGTGAACATTCCATTCAAATATTCATGTGTAGGTGGGATGCATGAAACTCTGTTTGGTTTGGATACTCTTAAGCATGATGATGGGTTTCCGCATGTGTCAGATCCCAAAAAAGCACAAGACACTGTTAAATTTATTTACGGTTTGCACATGACACAAAGCATTGTTACATTCGTACATGGTTTATACATAGCACAAAAGCCATTGTTATATTTGTATATGGTTTACACATGGCACATAGCACTGCTAGATTTATATATGATTTACACATAGCACAAAGATCTGTTACATTGATGCCACATAGCATTCTTACATTCATATTTGGTTTACATGTGATACATAATAGGCCGGGCGTTGTACTTCAAAATGGTAGTCTCATGAGGGGTGTAATTGTTCCTTTGCTCAAAAGACTCAATAATCCCAATACGTGAAATAGATGATTTAGCAATTGAGAGAGATTAAAACTGAAACAGAACCAACCAATTGCTGTGCTCTGTACTGGAGTTCTGTTTTGCAAAGTTTCAATTATTCATTTGGGGGTGCACAAGAAGGAAGCAAGTTGACATGAAGCCCCGATCTTACTCCTCAATTATTCTCTATTTGGATAATGTTTTCAGGATTTGTTTATTAAGATTTGTTCTCTTCATTACAGATCACCAGAAGTTGGAGAGAGAGGCTAGGATTTGTCGGCTTCTAAAGCACCCCAATATTGGTAAGAATTCATTGAATATCTCTATAAAAATGTAATTAATTACAAGTTGTGTGTCAATAGAACCAATCATGTGAACAATGCGCACACGTGTTTTTTAGCAAATAATAATTCCAATTCCAAGATTTGTTCCCACTTTCAGGTTCTACTCCCCTTTACTTAGCACAAACTGGAAGCAGTGCTTGAGATCCAATTCTGGGGCTCTCAGTGCAGCTTGACTTGTTCGTCTATATTTGAATCTCTTTCCTTTCCCTGCGATGAAGCCCTTTGCTTCTGCCTTGTATTATATTGCGCGATTCTGCTAAAAGCAAAATCATGATTGGAAATTTGGTATGGAATCACATCCATGAACATGTACATGAGCATTTTCGTGCCTTGGGACATCGCCCTGACATGAAAGGTGCTATATAAACTTAATTGGTTGTTATGTTTGTTAGATGCCAGAAGTTTACTGGTTCCTGTTGAATCTTTACTCCCAGATTAAGTCACTCCTTCAAAAAAGGAAAAAAGTTAGAACAAAATAGGAGGTGATGATTTGTATGATTATTGTTTAAGTATGAATGTAATGTTCAATTTAAAATATCCAGGTCTCCACTCTTCCGGTGATGTAACATCCAAAATATCTTACAATAATACCAATGATCCCAGTAACATCAAATATCATTGAAGGCAATGTTCAAACCTAAACGCATTTTATCTCTATTTCCTGCCATTTTACCCATATCCATTGCTTCCCTTAACTAGGCCAATAGTTTTGTGTAACATCCTCAGCATGGATGTTTATTCTGCTTTAATCTTCTTCCCACTGAACATGTCTGAATCTGATGTAGTCATAAGGCTGAGCTAGTCTGTTTAGGTTAGCCTTGTTTCTTCGACTGACCAGTTGAGCTCTTTTTAAAAATGCTAATTTTATTCAGAATGATGTTGCGTGTCTCAAGATTCACTGTCTGGAAAGAGGCAGGAACCTAATAATTTATAAGTCCCCAGCACATCCCAGATGGCAGCACGGAGGCCATATTTGAACCTTGAGAAGTGCTCGTCTTGACATAATTCACACTTATCACTGTAATTACTGTCATCACAGCAGCAGAGTGTTCTTAAAAAAGATTGCAACATCCATTCCAAATTGGGTTAGAGCCTACACTGAAATACAAGCAGGAAATGCTGGAGGTGCACAGCAGGTTGACCGGCATCCAAAACAGAGAGACATTTTGGCTCAGAGTCTTCATCCATCATAACTGGAGCAATTAGTTTGAAGAGGGTTGAGGAAGGCAAGTGGAGCACAACCAGGCAAACGAGATGTTACATCTCGTCCACAAAATATACAGTATATGCTGTGAAGCGCTTTGAGACATCTAGAAGGCGTGATAAGGCGCTATATCAAATGCAAGGATTATTATTATTATTATGAGGAAGACAATATTATGAATTTCAAACCTCCATATCCACATTAAGCAAATGGCTCGCATATTACTAATTCTATTAACATATTGACATTGAGATGCTTTCATAAGCTAGTGTAAGAAATCTTTTAGTGTTGCATAAACATTCTTAGGTATTTTGAAAATGAGTCGACTCCTCACTGTTTTGAAATCGAACCTCAATTATTTTTTCTTGTGAATCTGTGAAACTTAATATTTCTTTGTCTTCTCTCACACATGAAATACAATCGCTGTTTGCATCCAGGCTTTACTAAGTCAACTCTCCGCTCACTGGACTGTCCAACCCTTTCCTACACAACCTGCGGACTATCCAGAACTCTGCAGAAATTGTCATTCCTCGCACTAGCTCTGCATTTTATCACTCCCATCCTTGCTTGGCTCCATTTACGCCCCCCCCCCCATCCCTCAGTTGATCAGGTTCAAGATCTTTGTCCTCACCTTTAAATCCCTCCACTGTCTCACCCCACCCTATATCTGTGACCTTCTCAAATTATACAGACCCAGATGCTCAGCAGGTACCAGCCTGCTTCATGTCCCCCAAGCCCGCGATTGGCTTTCAATCTATTTGCCTCCACTTCTTTGGAACTTCATCCTAGAGTTCCACTGACTCACTCTCTCCCTCATCTCTGACCATGCTTTCAGCCATCCTTCCCCTCCCCAACCTACTCAGTTTGCACCCCAGCTTGTGTGCCCAGCCAGTACTGTTAAGCACCTGGGATACTCTCCCGATGCAAAATATCAATGTAAATTTATTTATTGCCTTATTTATCATTTGTAAGAAAACTGGATAGAGAAAGTAAAAGGATATCAAAGTTCTGTGGTTCAATCTTACCCGATTCAAAATAAAATTCTTGTCGATACTTTCCAGTGACTGACTTGCATTCCATCTGCTTACACTGTATTCTACTCTTCCATGACTTTGCAAAGTACAACAGCTGCTCCAAACGTAGTATAAGGCTCCTTCTTGTTCCAACTTCAATCTACATTCCTGGTGCTCACTCTGACAAACCAGACCATCTGCAACTTTGGCATTTTGTTTGACTTTCACCTCTACCTCAGGTGCTACATCTGGACCATGACTGCAACTGCCACCCTCAGAACATGATTTCTCATCCCAATTCAGCCTAAACCCTTATCATCCTTTTGGTACCTCAGGGATTTCTCCAATGCTCTCTTCACTGCCCATTTGCTTTCTACTTTTCAAAATTTCTGGCTCCTACAGAATTCTGGAACCTGTATTGTGTTCACCACAGACTTCTCACAACCATTTCCTTCTCACACCTACCTCTCCTGTACAGGCTCCTAGTCATGTAGAGGATTGATGTCCTGATCCCCAGTCTTGACTTTAAAATCATTTTATGCCCTTGTCCCATTTTATCTTTTCAGTTTCCAACAGTCCCATTCTCCTACCAACTTTTTGTTGAAGATATTGTCCGTTTTGCTTGGTTGAGGATTTAAAATGTTCACTTCAACAGCAGAAAAAGGCTGGAGGAGTTATCAATTTCAAGGAAGAGGTTATTTGATGACCAAACCACTTGAACTTTAAAAAGCTCAGCTGTGGAAAGAAATACTCTGGAAGAGTTTGTTTCAACAGCTCAACAGTGTTCAGTGTGTCCTGCTTTAGACTGCACATATTGGCGGATCTACCTTGCTTTGATTGGCACATGAATTTGTATATTAGTACAATGGCTCAATACGTTGCAGGCCTTCTTCCCCCTAGGAATAAATGTGACTTTCAGACCAGGCTTAAAGTTAACCTGTTGTAAATGAAAATAATAGGCAAATCAGTAGGTCAGAATAATTTTCAGTACAACAGATTTTAGATCTAATATCTTATACCCATATTAAAATTCATCTGGTGGTGCAAAATATGCCAACTGTGCTATTGAATGTTTTAAATTGTGAATTGAATTTTAACCTGGTTACAAAAAGTCTGTATTGTATAAATTCTGAAAATTAGGACCGCACTCCTGGGCCATTGAAAGAACAATCAATGTTTTAAAACACTGGTGAGCCCGAAACCCCTGCTTTGTTGAAACTCTCATCAGCTCTTAATAACTTCAAACGTACATTTGGCTTCATAAGAGCTAGTTTGTTTTTGAATGGTTTAGTGTGCCTGTTGAGTGGATGTAAACACTGTGTACCTGTTTTGAAAGAGTAACAAAAGCAAGAGAGCTTTTCAAACTGGCAAGCCAGCTTTCAAATTGGTGATGTTGTCATGGCATTGCAACAGCTGGTGTTCAGGAGAAGCTTTTGATCTGTGTCAAGTGTGCAAAATGTGGAAAATGTACCATATTTAAATTGCATTAATTGTAAACTGAAATCTATCCTCGTGTGAAGGGACTTGCTGACAGCAGATTGTAACATGTCACTATTGGTGTGGGTGGGAAGACAGTTCAGGGGGATTTCCTCATAATCCTCTTAAGAATCTGGACCCACCATACTGTTCAACAGAAAGAAATAGCAGCAATTCTAGACTCGATTTTCGTAAATGACATTTAAAATGTGATCAGTTTAAAAATAATTCAAAAAGAATGATCTTAATTCACACTAAAATTATTACCTGTTGTTTTCTTTCCGATGCTGATTAACCTATTGTGAGTTTTTATTATTTTTCTGTTGATTGCAACAGATGGCGTCTTTTTATTATAAATACTGGAAATATATTTTTGTGATGTGCACATTTGTCACTTGGGGGTAACTGGATGAGTAAAACTGTCACTCGGAATCCCACATAATAAAATAACAAAACGTGTCATACATCATTAAATGTATTTATAGGCACAAAGGAAAGTGTTCATGCAGTCCCTTGAAATGCACCGGAAATAGTGTTTGAATTACAGGCTTTCAGTAAAACGTTGACCTTCCCGGTCCCAGTCTGATATAATGAGCCCAGGATCCCTTTATAAGTAATGGATAATAAGGGTTATTGTCACAAAGCTAAAATCTGTTTTGAGTTGGTGGTGATGTAAATCGGTCATCGGATTTCATATACTGTATTGCGTTTCAGCTTTGCGAGCCACTGCTGACTGTTGATTTGCAGTGCAGTTTCTTCTCCTAATGCCAGATAGTTGTGCCTTCCAAGATAATATAATGCAATTGTCAGATTGTGCTAGTTTATTTTGTGGCTCAGTTGGTAAAGACACACTACCTAGTATGGAACTGAGCAATATAGACATGGAAGGTGATGGGTTCAATTTCAGTTTGTGCCGGATAACTGATCTCATTCTGGCCGTCATTAGGAGCACTATAATTGTCCCCCATGACCTTGGGTTAAGAAGGAGAAATCAGCCAGGAGTGCTGCCTCTTGTTACTATCACTGACAGATATTCTGTGTGTGTGTGTGTGTGTACACAATAATACAATTGCACTCGGCTGTTCTGCCCCCTCTAGCTGCCTAGCCTATAACAAAAATAACTGTTTCCTTTTATATAGCTCCTTTCACATAAAATAACATTTTACATTGGTCGGCAGTTCCTCAGCTAGGCTGGTCCACAATATTCCAGGGCATTGCTGTTGACAGCACAGCCAAGCTGGCTCATCTGCAGGACCTGGAAGGGC